AATACAAAAAACTAGCCGGGCGAGGTGGCGGGCGCCTGTAGTCCCAGCTACTCGGGAGGCTGAGGCCGGGGAATGGCGTGAACCCGGGAGGCGGAGCTTGCAGTGAGCTGAGATCCGGCCACTGCACTCCAGCCTGGGCGACAGAGCGAGACTCCGTCTCAAAAAAAAAAAAAAAAAAAAAGAAAGTTGTTGCCACACAGAGACTCAAATTAGTGACATTCCTACATCAATGGACTGTTGGATGCTGTGGGCAGAGGAAGGCTTGCTGAAAGAAAAAATTGCAGAAGCATTTTCTAGTACCTTAAAAAAAAAAAGAGAGATCTGTTTTAACAACAAAACCATCAACCAGATGGCATTCACTTGGCAATGAGTACTGCCAGGGAATTCAAAAGGACAGAGGAAAGGTTGGAATGCTCAGGTGCAACTGATGGAGTAAACAGGTGATGCAAGGAGACTTCTTTATATTTTGATGGGAAATAAAGTGACCTCTGGATTTTAAAGTGACTGGTAAGAGGAAGTGTTGTCTTGGGGCGCAGGGTCATGCTGAGACTTTGAACACGACGTACAGAGAAGCCCAGCCCCAGCTCACAAGCTGTCTCAGATTCAGAGTTTGCAGTATGACAGCCACAAGCACAGGGGGAAGTGTCTTTCAAGAAAAACAACATCAGTGATAACTTAGAAATGGGGGGAGGGATTGGATCATTCAGGGCTCAGTGTCTGCTTTGCTCTAGAAATGGCTCAGAAGGAGCAACCTCAGCTGGAAAATGGCTAAAACACCAGCTCCAAATGTGGGATTTTCCTTGTCTTTCTCAAAAGCCCTCCTTTTCTTGTGTGTGTCAACCGAAGTATTTTGTTTTGCTCAATACACTTTTTCAGTAATGCTTCTGCTTAAAATAAACATAATTAAAGAAATCATTTTCCTGAGAGTAGCATGCTGCTTTCTGTAAGAGGAAATTGGGTGTGGGTTTGGCTCATGTCGCAAATGAAGGAGGTTTGGAAATCACAGCCTAGCCTTAATGGATTGTAATCAGAAAACCACCACCCACACACAGCTTTACTTGATATGCTTCAACTGCCTCTCCTCCTATAAAAGCTGAAAACTAATTACTCTCTTCATCAAGATAAGGTGAACTAGAACAGGAAGACTTGAATTAGTGCCGGGGCTGTGGTGGAACCCACCTTCCTTGTGGAGTAAACATAAAGCACTCAGTGGACTAATTCAAAGACCTCACCTTCCTTCAAGATAAGTATTCCACTCATCTCCTCTGCCTCAAGCTCCTAAAGCAGTCCATTTTTATTGGGTCTGTCATCTATGACAACAAATCTGGACTGTGTGCCCCTAGATATAGGACAGTCTGTTTTCAAAGTCCTCTGCTGGTGTCTGGCCAGGGAGAAAGACAACACAAAGGGATTACAGTCCACGGTGAATGTTACTTAGTGCAGGGCAGGAGAACACTTAATTCAGCCTTGAGAGGTCAGGGAAGGCTTCCTGGAAGAATTTGTAAACTGAGATCTAAAACTGGTCTCTGAGTTTCAATCCATTCACACAAACCATGTGCTTTTGACTTCTTTCAACCGTATCTTCCCATTTTCCTGCCTAACCCTGCACAATCTCTGTACATATTTGGTTTAATCACATTGGAAAGAAACGTGCACTTCCTTTCTGTTAATCGATTACTTGCTAGTCTATGAACATAGAAAATTCTGAAAATCTACGTGGCATATCTGTAGACATGGCTCTCCAGAGCACGACAGCTTCCTGAGAACATGGGGCCGAAATCCCACTGCAGAGGCAACTCCACAGAATGTCCAGGTGTGCAGGGCATCATTACTTCCCTCCTTACTCAGAAAATGGAGAAGGGCACATGCGCAGTAGTGTGTGTGAGAACAGCTGGAGGGAACCCTCATCCAGTGGCACCTGGCTCTGATTAGAGGGCTGTATTAGGTGGGGCAAGGCTCATTAATATCTTCCTGATGACTCGTTGAAAATGTATGTATTTTTACATTCTCTTGAAACTTCTATCAAACATCCGACGACATACAGACTGGAGGAGAATCGCAATTATTTCCACCTCTGTCCATTGTTCAGAAATGCTCTTGTCCACGGCACACCTCCATCACTTTGCTGACAAAACTAAGGCAATTCCAGCTAAATGGTATCGGAATGGAATGGAGACAAAAATCCTCAAGCTGGAGCTGACTCTGTCAGGAAATTCCCTGTGGAATGGAGTTCATCGGTTTCGGCTTGTTTTCTCTGACTGCCCAGTGGGCACCTTCCCACCCCACCCCCCAAACCCATTGTCACTCACCATCCACGCATGGCCTTGCGAAGGATAAAGAGCCCTAGCTCCAGTGAACCTTGGTGCTGGGTTTGGGAGGTCTTCCCTCGCCAGTACAATAGGCTCCTCTCTGATGGGGCCCACGGTAGCGCGTCTGCTCCATGGCCGGCTCTATTTGTGCTTTCAGGGTTATGTGGTTATGTAGACTGGGGGCTAGCTGGGGAAGCAAAGCCAAACCCAGAGCTTCATGGTCACAGATTTCAAAGCCTTTCTTTTGAGGGGCAACACAAAGGAGCTTGTGAAACAGATCAGCCTCAACAGTGCAATAGACTTCTATGGTGCTGCAGATAAAGGGAAGAGGATGTGGGGCCAGTTTATCAACTGCACAGGCGACAAAAGGGAAGATTAAAAGTCCCCTGAAAATAGGAAATAGAGTGGGCAATAACTGCTTGCCCTTGAAGAATTCTTTGCTAGTAGCTTAGGAATAATGGAGAGGCTCAGGGGGCGGGAGGGAGCTGGATTCTCTCCTCTCCCTCACCTCATTGTGTGCTGCCTCCCTCCAGGCAGAGTCATGGGGAGGTTTCCCTTAGAGAGGAAGACGGGAGTAAAGGAAGCAAAAAGCTCTGACTCTGAAAACAGTGCTCCCCTTTTTCTCTTCTTGCCATTTCCTTGGAAGGACATTTCAAGCACCTGTGAATCCTCTCTGAAATTCAAATGCTTCCTACTCCCTTAGCTCATGTTGGAAGGTCTTTCCATCCTTATCACTTAAATATTAATTCATTGAAGAATACTAGTTACATGTGCATTCTGCTCCAGGCACACGTCTACCAGAGGCTGGCCTACCACACCGTCATCTATCATTCATTCAGGAAGGCACTGGCCCAGCTCCCTCAAAGCTAGTGATCAATTATGGTCAACACAGCACAACTGACAAGACCTCAGCGCCCTTGGTACCAGTTTGCCTCCAATTATACCACCAATCTGGGGGCTTGCAACATAATTTCTAGCATGTTCTTTCATAGTTCTCTCTTTTTTTTTTTGGTCTTTCAAGAGAATATAGTGTTCTAAATATTGTTTGTTTGCTAATGTTCCCATGAAAATGTTCCTTATTTTGTCTTTAAAAACATCATTTAGCTTAATCTGGAGCTCCAAGGCTACTATAACTTAATCTGGAGTGCTAAGGCTAGTTATAGTAAAATCTTATACAAAGTGAACACAGACACAGATACTCATTTGCAAGCTTGGTTTCAAACTGAGGCAGCATTATAAAGGAAATCGTTAAGTGCGTGGGTTAAACAGTACCTCGTACTTAGTAAGCCTTCCATAAATATTTGTTGAATGAGTGAGTGAATAAATTCACTCTGACTCTACTTTCTCATCCAGGAATAAGAGAGGTAAATAAAGTGAAACAGCACTGAACATTTTGTAGTTTACCAGCTGAGGGCAAAAAATCTCATTCTCTTTTTGTTACTAAAACCATCCATCTGCCCAGTGTCACTTCCTGATAAGAGCCCATTTCTAAGTCCTCATTTGTAACTAAATGTTGGGTGACATAATTAATGCTTAACACACATTTGAATTACAAGCCACAGGCGACTGCAAATCCACTCTACAAGATGGTCATTACGGAGGCCCAATCCATACACTCCCAAAACATGGGATTTATTCAAATTTAGGAAAATGAGGAAAAAGAACCTGAACCTTTCTGAGATATGGGAGTGACGAAAAGAGGGGGCCTTGGCCAGAAGGAGGGGGAGGGGATTTAACTCAAAGCCTCTGAGATACACTAATAGTCTCTGGAGATAAACACTGCTGAGAGGCCTAATGCGTGTGGCTCCAGGCCTGCTTGCAGCTGGAATGTCGGCTGGGCACTTATCTGCAGTCCCCTCCCTCCGCTACCTCCTCAGAGTGGACTCCTTCACCGGAGCTCCAGCAGGTCACTTCTGTCATTGCCATTCCCTGTGTGCAGAATGAAACCCAGTACTGCAGTTCCGGTGACAACAAGCTGGCTAGACCAGGGGTCAGAAAGCAACCCTCTCATTCTGCCTTTCCTGAATTTTAGCTAGGAAGCATTTTTAATGTTTTCTGCTGTTAGCAGAATACTAAAAAAGAATTAAGACAAGGTAATTAGGCAGGTGAGAGGAAAAGGCCTAATTCTGAGGCTCAGAGGAAAATGGACACAAGTCAAATCCCATTGTAATGATTACCTTTATAGACAGAAGGGCTTTGTAAAATGAAGTTATTTCCTGTGCACAGAAGCAGCGGGACTGCAGAGACCCGACTTTCCTGACAGAATGACCACAAGGAGTGTTCTCTGGGCTGGACCCGCGCTTTGCAGCACAGCACTCTCTGTAGCAAGCACTGGACTGAAAGCTGTTGGCACTGTGATGGGGACAAAAGCTGAGCTGCTTACAGTTCATTGTGCAGTTATAAAACAGCAAACATTAAGAACAATTCACATTTGCTTAGCTTTTACAACGGCTGTCTTCTCATCTGTGTCATTTTCTTCACCCCGCCATCTTACCTCACTCACCCCATGCTGGATTCCCGAAGCAGGCAGGTCAGACACCTGCATGGGACCCACACCTCTCACCGGGCATCTAGAACAATTAGAAGTTCCTTTACACTGTCTGATTTTTTAAAAAGTCAAAGTAGTTGGGGGGGGGGAAAAACAATCAGAATCCCATGGAACATCCTTAGAGTTATTTTATGTCTTTGCAGGAAGAGAGAGGGCATCACAATTTCTTCGGTGCTCAAGGCCCCTTGGAATTCTTAATGTGACCTCGTAGCCACCACAAAAACCGCGAAATGATCCAGACACCACAGAGGGGAAAAGGAACTTCCGACATGCTGCATTTCCTTGCTCGGGGGAGCCCTGTGACCCACGGGCTGCCTCGAATGCACAGTGTTTTCTATATCTACCAATCTGTAAATATCTCCCCTCCAAACCAGATGGTTAGCTGGGCCTTCAATACACGAGGCTGCAGGATTTCCATTTCAAATCTTTGCCCAGCTGCTTCCTCTCCATCTTGACTACCATCTACTGAGCCCCAGGAAGGGCTTTTGCAAAAGTATCCACAGTCAAGGTGACTGGGTGACTAAAGGTTGGTGCTGGCTATTTGATGTCCTGGCTCATAAGGGAGTATGTTCAGCGCAACCTGCCTCCCTTCAAACACGTATCCTTCATCCATTTCCCCACTTGGAGGGTCACTGGTGGTAACAAGCTGTTTCTTCAATGGATGATCAGATTGACGCTTCACTACTTAAGAGGCAAAATGTTAAATTAACTAGGTAGGGCAAAGAGAGTGTGGGGGGGGCAGGTCTAGGGTAGGTGGAGCTCTAGTGCAGAGAGAAGGAAGTGGAGGAGAGGAAGTAGGAGGTGAGAGGAGGCACACAGGCTTGGAAGGACAATAAAGGCAGGCTTCTGCAATGTACTGACTTTCCAATACCTCGGAGAACCTGCAGCACACTGTTAAATGATCCTGAAAGTATGGCCCTGCTGTTAGGCTGCCTCAAGCTCCAGTGGGGCTTTCTCACCACTGAATGAAGTATGAGTTCCTCTATAGGTGGCTCATCCTTGCGCGTGTCCCCACCCCACTGTGCACTGGCTTTCAGGCCTGTAAGCCTTTGTACAGGCTCTTCCCTCTTCTTGGAAAGCATACTTCCTCCTCAAGTAGACTGGTCATGACTTAGTTCTGTAGTCTTTCTTCACCAAAGTCATCTGGGACCAGTTTGGGATAAGTTAAGAGAGCCCACAGCCCTCTGAAGATACCCTGCGAAAGCTCTTAGATCACTCAGTCATTTGATTACCTGCCTGCCTCTCCCCAAAGACCCTGAGACATGATTTCCTGAGGACACTCACTGGATTTTAGTGATGTTTGTGTCTCTCAATGCCTGGCAAACAGTAGGCCCCCAGTTGACACTTGCATGATGAAGCGATGATGGGGACCAGTTTATAAAGGTGGCTATCCAAAGTGATCCATCTTTAGGGGCTCAAAGATTAAGTGCTTGGCAATACCACAGAAGAAGGGAAGCCTTTTTGGCCAATTTTTTTTTCTCAGAAGGGCTCTTTATAACTATACACGTCCCCTAAGACAAGAACCCAGATGAGAGATATCCCCCCTGTTGATATCATTAGTACCTCTCAAATAATACCATCTGCCCATGCCCTAATCTCTAGGTATTTTTAAGATATTCTAATGGCTAGAGCTCTCTCTGGTTCTATCTTTGCAAACTGGTGGTTCTTAACATGTGGTCCCTGGACCACGGGCATCAGCAACAACTAGAAACTTGTTAGAAATAAAAATTCTCAGACTCCATACCAGCCCACTGAATTCAGAAGTTCCAGGGGTAGGGCCCGGGAATTTCTGTGTTAGCAAGCTCTCCAGGTAATTATCGTGTGCACTGAAGTTTGCGAACCACTGTTTTAGACTTCAGTGAGACCACAGGTACAGTCTCATTATTTGAAGCACATATTCAGGTGAGGATGATGAAATATAGATTCATAAGGACATCAATCTTTCCACCTAGGCAGTACGGTCTAAGTGAACATTCTGCAATAATGGAAATGTTTTACATCTGTGCTCTGGATAGTGTAGCTACTAGGTACATGTGCCTTTGGGCATTTGAAATACGGCTAATGGGACTGGGTAACTGAATTTTAAAGTTTAGTATAAATTTAAATTTAAATAGCCACTTGAGCCTAGTGGCTACCATATAAGACAGTACAGCTCTAGAAGATGACTAAGCAATATAAAACCATATTCAACCCAGTTCCTAAAATCCCAGCAATAAAAATCTTTTAAAAAATATATTCTCTTAGATTCTGTCACCTGTAAAATGGAAGGTACCTATATTCACTGATTTGTTCATTCAATTAAGTATTTGCTGCTTATCTCAAGTTGGTTCTATCAAATTAATGTTTGGAAACTTTTTTGAAGTAGTTTAAAGCATTATGTAAAGTAGCAGTATTCTTTCTGTATAATCTTGACAAGGCTTTAAGCCTATGGTTTGATCTGCAATTAATTAGGATTCTGGGGGCAGTAAGTCATGTTGTTACTGTGTGCCCCACAATGTATCTTTAAGATTTAAAGTAAAAGGATATACTGTAATAGATGCCAACCTCAAAAACTGCCCAGGGAACTTCTCTTTGTAGTTATACACGTCTTTCAGGCTGCTCTGTTTTATACCAGGTTCTACTGAGGTAGATAAGGGGTCTCGCTTTCCAAGACAAATATGTACTTTCATTCTGCTACCTAAACAAGGGATGAGCTGCCCTTAGCTGTCCATCATTAATGAGTTTGTATACAAATGATTCAATCTGTATTATAGAAAGACTATAATCAACATTAAAAACATTTATTTTAAATATGACTATTGGCCGGGCGCGGTGGCTCAAGCCTGTAATCCCAGCACTTTGGGAGGCCGAGACGGGTGGATCATGAGGTCAGGAGATTGAGACCATCCTGGCTAACACGGTGAAACCCCGTCTCTACTAAAAAATACAAAAAACTAGCCGGGCGCGGTGGCGGGCGCCTGTAGTCCCAGCTACTCGGGAGGCTGAGGCAGGAGAATGGCGTGAACCCGGGAGGCGGAGCTTGCAGTGAGCTGAGATCCGGCCACTGCACTCCAGCCTGGGCGACAGAGCGAGACTCCGTCTCAAAAAAAAAAAAAAAAAAAAAATAAAAAATTAATATGACTATTAGCAGTTTAGCCAAATCCAGACTATCCCTAAACAAATGAGGGCTCTTGCCTGAATGTGCACTCGTAAGTGAGGACTTTTGAAAAGTTCTTTTTCTCTAGCCTCCGGGGAGGCAACTCCAGCCTGCACATGCTGAGGCTCTCTTCAGGAGAGAAACTGCCTGGAAGTGTGACAAGGGCCTCTAGCCCTCAGCAAGAACCTGGGCCCTAGGACAACACTGCACAACAGTGGTGACCAAGTTCTCCATGGCCGGGGACTGAACTGTCCATATCAGTCTCCTGTGCTACCTGTCCCTAAGGCTGTAATCCGTGGCTCTGACTCTGGCCCTGTCTGGGTCTTCCCAGATACAGAAGGTTCTTGTTGCTTTGTGCCAGGTTTGAGGAAGTTGAATAGGGTTCAGGCACTCCTGCCAGGGATGGGGTGTCTCCATCAGATAGGCAGGTGACTCGGTGCAGGAACCCAAGTGCTGAAGTGGGGCTACACCCTTGAGGACGGGGATACTCCCCATGCACAGCTTAGGCAGTTCCACACTGTCTGTCATGGTCTCCACCTCAAATGTCTGCACAATCACTACAAAGGTTTGAGGGGAATAAGAGGGAAGAGGATACTTGCGTTAAGGGAGAGAGGGAGTTGGGGTCAAGTCAGATGAGCTCCAGGTGGAACTAAGGAAGAGGAACATGACTGGGAGCGGGAGGGCTGGTGGTGTGCAGCTGTGCTCTGTGAAGGTCAACTATAAACCAGGGTGAACATGCAGATGTCGTCTAGCCTAGGGATGCCAAGCCCAGGCGTTAAACCCTCGCTTCTCTTTCCCAATCCAAACCTCACAAAAGGACCCCAGCACTCTTTCCCACCAGGCCTGCAGGCGCCTCAGTCTTCAAAATAACAGCCAGAGGACAAGGCTGCATTGCTCAGTTTACAAACGAAACAAAATCTTCCAGTTCCTGATCTGTGCCAGTCCCTCCACTGTATGAAGGAGGACTCCTGATTGATAACAACAGCATACGGGTCCCAAATTGAGCCCTCGCCATGGTCCAGCACTTTACAAATAACAACTTGTTTCATCCTCACAGTGACTCCAGGAGGGGAGAAGACTATTAGCCCCACGTGGGAGATGAGGAGACAGTGGCAGAAGGAGGCTGAGTTCAGCCGAGAAGGATGCACACAGCTCACGAGTGGTGGGGTCGGGCTCCCAATCCAGGCAGCGCTGCTGGCTTCCTTATTCACCACCGCTTTGCTGACACTACCTCCCACGTGGGTGGGGCTCTGGTTTTAGGTTTATCAGAGAACACACAAGCACATACGCTTTAGAATATGATATTTGTAGATTCATTAAAATCCGACCTTTACAGGATATTAAAACCATTCTAAGAGACAATCATGGTAAAGGTGTAATCGCATTTGTAAGCCTGCCAAATTGGAGTGTAAGAGCTTTTATGAAAAGTTTCAGAAATGTGGCTTACAGGGTAACGGTTTATGGTCAACTGCCTTTTGATCTCTCATGTGAAAAATATGTACTTACATATATTGCAGGAAACCTCACCACTTCCTTCCTAAGTGTCGGTCAAAAACACTAATTACTTGACTAATTAGACTGTGAAACTTCCCTTACAGATGGTAAAAATGAGCTATTTTTACCCCACAAATTTAGTTGTGACATATCAGCAAAAAAATGTAGAAATCTTTCAATGGTTTTATTGTAGACAGTATGAACAATTTAAGCAAATCATATAAAAATAAATGAGAAACTAATGAAAATAATCTGCCCTTTCATAAGAGGAGAACACAAGAGGCTGGCTCGTGAGATGACACCCCTTTGATGGGAGACTGGAGGTCGGATCCAGATACCTTCTCCCCACCCCATGAATTGGTTAGTCCTAGCTTGGTTTGTGATTTTCATCGTGGCTTCAGGTACTTTCTTTATCCACCTGTAGTCACAGGCAGGCAGCACTCTTTCTTTTGTTTTCTCCCAGTCATTCCCTACAAGGGAAAGTGTATGTCATGTCCACCCACCAGCCACGATGACATGGTCTCCCTTGACTCTGCGTCCACAGAATTTCAGTCTGCGACATCAGCACATTTGCCAAAAGAATTAGTGTGGGATGAAGTGGAACCGAACCAAGTGCGACAGCTCGGGGAGGAAATGCCTCCTTGACCAGAGTGTGCTCATGTGAGACTCCACACCGCGGAACACTTACCAGCATCGAGGCTGCCCGTGGCTGCTGTCCAGCCCATGACAGGCGGGATGGCCCCAACCACGGCTCCGACCCATGTGTTGACAATGCTGATCCTCTTCAGTGGTGTGTAGCAGCAGGTATACAGAAAAATATTGAAGAGCCCCAGGGCTCCTGTGAGTGGATTCACCCCCCAGGTCAGAATGGCAACTCCCGGCACAGCACAACAAGTGGCAAAGGCCACAGCTAGCAATGGGCTGGAAAAGAGCAGAGAACATGGAGTGATCATCTCTGACGCAGCTCAATCACACTACCTAGAATCGGCACTGACAAAGTGCAAATAATCCACCCATCCAGTAGAGGCAGTACTGATCTGGCTTATTCCTGGATATGGGGAATCCTCTTAGGAAACAAACTTACAATAAGACAGAATATGTTTGTGGGAGCTCTGGCTGCTCTTCTTGATTTTGCTGGCTAAGAGTAAAGTGGTTAAGAGAGTCAGGGTTAGAGTATTCTGGATTCATATAGGTTGTGTCCCTTCCTGGCTATAAGACAGCTAGGTTTCACTTAATCCTTTCTACAAGAGAAATGATCCTCTCTTCCTCCTAGGGTTGAAGTGAAGCCTGACTGAGACAATGCCTCCTCTGCACATTGTTCCATTTTATATTTAGTCATGAGCAAACCACTTCAA